GTTGCCAAATCACAGACCTTCTCAAAAACTGTCTTTCTATGCTTCTCTGAGCATGAAGGTAGGCAAAGGAAAAAGTAAACATGTGCATGGGATACACCAAACTTAATTCTTAGTTCCTATATTTGAATCATGCCTTTTATCTTCTTCACAGATACTTAGTCTGAATTGGGTATCCTTTAGTGGAGTAAAATTGTCTATTCTCCTTTAGTGAAAGGTTGTATCCAGAAAATGTACTCTATCACAATACTAGTCTGTTAATAAAGCTTTGCAAATTGAATATATAAATTAGGTGTCCATTTCTCCTTTAAGCAACTGGTTACTCCTCTGTAAAGCTGAGGAGTAGTTTAAGAGACCTCCTACCTCATTACGTTAAGGTTTCCACAGGGGAAGAAAAGTTTACAGTTATAATTATTTCAACTCACAGGACTCTGCAGAATCTGAGTAACTCGCTTCCTCTGCTCCATCATATTGAAGTCTTGTCGTAGATCAGGAGACATGTTTCTCTCCCGGATGTATTCTGGATCATTTTCATTAATTCGGTCAAAATATCTCTCTTTGTGAGGCATACTAGGAGGAGGAGGAGTAGTGATCACTTCTTGGCTGGTATCCGAACTCATGTTTCAAGTCTGTGTATACCCCTTGTTCTCTACATAATAAAACATAAAGAAAAGAGGACATTCATGATAAATTCTTTCAAATTTTACATGCACTAACTAATCAGCTTAATTTTGCCACCAATATAACACTTGAGACTTTCTTTAAAAAGGAGCTCCTGGGAGGGGCTGCAGCTCAGTAGCACTTGCTGCACATGTACCAGGCTCTGGGTTTGATCCCCAGCACCCCAGGGGCAAAAAAAGTAACTTGTAAAAAAAATTAAAACAAGTTTTACTCATCAAAAAGTACCTTAGGTTAAAAAAAAAGGTATCTTAGGTTATAATGCTAAATTCCAAAGTGATATTTTAAGAGCCAAAGGAAACTTAAGGTTCAATCACTACCAAATGAATTTTTGAAGGGAACAGCAACCAAAATACCCCAAAGCAAAATGGCACATACTGATGGCAAATCTTCACAATAAGCACTGTCAGTAGAGCTTCTTTAACTCTCTTACTCATGCTTTTAGAGCAAAAGTTTTGGCCATATTTAATGACCACTATATTCCACAGGGAATGTAATTAGCTAACTTAAAAAAGAAATATGACTTCAAGTTTTTGAAATAATTCAACAAATTCCCAGGGACAATGTCAGACTTGCTGAGGTTGCTGCTAGACTCTAACTCTAGCAGATGTACTTCAGGTGAGGAAAAAATAAAAAACTATTCAGAAGGCATATAAACAGCCATAATTCACTTAACATGATTACTATTGATACTGAGGATAATCTTTGATTTTATACCAGGGAGATAATTTGGGGTTTGCTACAGCCAAGCACCTAGCTAGCTATAGTTAGATAACAAGACAGTCAAATTATTTAATTTTCCCCACCCCAAATTATGATCAACGTGCTATAAGTTAATTATGTCACCTGACTGAGTGCTTCTCAAATATCCCCAAAGGAGTTTCCAACCCACTGTGAACCAATGTTTTTATAAAATACAAAATAACACACTTAGATATCATGGCAATATAAAATTGCAATAAAAGTTGATTGTTTACTGTCATTTTTATACTAGTCACGGTGGGCAGGGAGAACAGGAAGTGATGGCCTAATGGGTACTGGCTTTCTGTCTAGGGTGAATGGAGTTCTAGATCTAGACAGTGGTGATGGCTGTAAAACACTGAGAATGCACACTACTTAATGTCACTAGAACTGTATACTTTAGTCAAGTTGGTAAATTTTATATCATAAATTTTAACAACTCAAAATAGATCAAACTTCAAATGTAAAATTATAAAACTTTTAGAAAAAACAGATGACCTTTGGTATTTAGGGCAACATAAACAGTTCCTAAATACTAAAATCATAAACCATAAAAGGAAAACTTACATATTGGACCAGACCAACATTTCAAATGTCTGTCATAAATGACATTGTTAAGAGAATAAAAAGACAAGGGACAGACTGGGAGAAAATTATATGGAAACCACATATCCAATGAAGAACTAGTATACAGGAGGCATAATGGACCCTCAAAAATCAAGAGTTAAAACAAAAC